GGTGGGCCACGTCCTGGGCGCTTGGCTGGAAGGGAGGGAGAGCATGCTGGCATACCATGCCCTGGAGCCTGGACCCGGAATGGAACCTTCTAGGCCCGCACCTTCATTTGAGTAGGGAGGGAGCAAAGACCAGTGCGGCCAGGTGAGCCCTGTGCTCAGGCCGAGAGCAATCCGTCTAGACCCGTGGTCGGCAAACTGCGGCTCGCGAGCCACACGCGGCTCTTTGGCCCCTTGAGTGTGGCTCTTCCTAAGCCTTAGGAGTACCCTAATTAAGTTAATAACAATGTACCTACCTATATAGTTTAAGTTTAACCTTTCTCCCTGCCCTGGTGGCTCCGGGCCTTGGAGATGAAATGCTTAGGATAGCACTCGTTTTTGTATCCGCTCAGAGAAAGACCCCCCCCCCCCCCCCCCCAACAAGCATCGCTTCTCTGTGACATCCCCATGTCCCCATGTTGAACTTTCCAGGTACCCTAAGCTGGGGACCCAGCACCCCGAGTCTAACTCCGCCGGGGATGACGTGTTTGCCAAGTTCTCGGCGTTTATAAAGAACACCAAGAAGGGTGCACACGAGAGTGAGTGTCTGCCGCCTTCCGGGCTCTGCTGCCAGCGTGGCCGCCCCTCGGCCTCTGTGCGGTTCGGGGTCCGGGGAACCTCGCCTCATGGCCCAGCGGGAGGCCTATGTCTAGCAATGAGGAAAAAGTGCTCCACCTGGACCTGCGGTGGGTTTCAGAGACACCGCGCTTCTAGGCTTGGAAGCCGGAAAGCACTGTGTTTTAGGGCAGCGGTCGCCAACCTTTCGGACCTCATGGACCATCAGTGGCCCACGGACCAGCGGTTGGCGACCGCTGTTTTAGGGCGAACCACTCGCCCCGCGTGCTGTGCCCAGCTGCACCCGGAGTCAGTTTAAGTGATGCTGCTGCCAGGGCCCGCTCCACGATAGGGTTTCCATAAAGACTTGGGAAGAAATGAGTGAGTTCTAGACACAGCAGTGGGGGTAGGCAGTAGTGGGGGGTAGGCGGTAGTGCGGGGTAGATGGCTGTAGGGTGTAGACGGCAGTGAGGGTAGACGGCAGTGCGGGGTAGAGGGCAGCGCGGGGTAGGCGGCAGTGGGGGGTAGGTGGCGTGGGGGGTAGATGGCAGCTCGGGGTAGACGGCAGCGCGGGGTAGACGGCAGAATTGTTTTCCAGGAGGAGTGAGGCCACGCCAGCCTCCTTCCCTCTGGAGTGAGGGGCTGACCCCCTGTCGCTCAGTCGTTCCCCCCTCTGCCCTAGGCCACGAGAAGAGCCTGCTGCGGGCCCTGCGGCGGCTGGACGACTACCTGAACAGCCCTCTGCCCGACGAGGTGGAGGCCGACGGCGCGGAGGAAGTGGCCGTGTCCGGCAGGAAGTTCCTGGACGGGGACGAGCTCACGCTGGCCGACTGCAACCTGCTCCCCAAGCTGCACATCATCAAGGTCGGTGGCTCCCGCCGCCCGGACGGGGCTTCGTGCACGCGTTTGACTCGTGTTCCGGGGACAGCGCACAACCCGGGATTCGAGGAGCCCGGCCACCCGGGTTCAGACACGCGGGGTCAGGTGTCCGCAGGTGTCCTCCGTCCTCGGGGCGTCCTCGTCGCTCTCCACGTGAACGCCACGGGAGGGGGTGCGTGGTCACACTGGCGTCTGATGCTGAGGCTGGGACCTGCTGAGTGGGGTCTGTGAGATGAAATGGGACGGCAGCCGGGTGTGGTGACGGCCAGGCAGCCAAGCTCCGTGAGGGGCCGGTCCACTCCCACTCGGGGGTTAACAACCTCAGTTAGTTCATATTCGCTCTCTCTCTCTCTCCTTCTCTCCCTTTTTCTTTCTTTTAAATATATTTTTATCAATTTTAGAGAGGAAGGGAGAGGGAGAGAGATAAAAACATCAATGATGAGAGAGAATCACTGATTGGCTGCCTCCTGCACGCCCCCTACTAGGGATCAAGCCTGCAACCTGGGCCTGTGCCCTGACCAGGAATGGAACCAGGACCTCCTGGTTCATAGGTCGATGCTCAACCACTGAGCCACACCGGCCGGGCAGCAGCCTCAGTTCTTAACATCAACCCCACAGCTGGGGAGTGGGGACAGCTCTCTGGGTCGGTCGTGGCCAGATCTGGCGTCCTGTCTCCCCAGATGTTGCACGTGAAGTGAAAGTCACGGGTCATGTATCATTAGGGTTGAGAGATGCCCTGGGACTGCGGCTCTTCTGCACGAGAATTCAGACGAGATTTCAGCACGGGAAGGCATAGGAATTGTGGAAGCGTGAACCCCTCGACCTGGCCCCTGACCGTCTAACTCAGAATTCCGGGAGTGGCCCTGAGATCCGGGGGCTGATGGTCCCCTCTGGAATGCTGGGCCATGGCTGTCCCGCAGGGGTACCCCAGCCCCTGTCACCTACACCTGTCAGCTACTCGGTCATTATCACCACTGCTATGCCCTTGGCCCTCAGTGACCTCAATGCCCCAGGAAGAAGTCTTGTTCTGAGGGCATCTTTATTATTCACACCCCACTGGGTTCAGAGCTGGGTCCTTGGTCTAGAGCAGCGGTTCTCAACCTGTGGGTCGCGACCCCTTTGGCGGTAGAACGACCCTTTCACGGGGGTCGCCTAAGACCATCCTGCATATCAGATATTTACATTACGATTCATAACAGTAGCAACATTACAGTTATGAAGTAGCAACGAAAATGATTTTATGGTTGGGTCACAACATGAGGAACTGTATTTAAAGGGCCAGAAGGTTGAGAACCACTGGTCTAGAACAGTGGTCCGCAAACTGTGGCTTGAGAGCCACATGTGGCTCTTTGGCCCCTTGAGTGTGGCTCTTCCACAAAATACCACATGCGGGCGCGCACATACGGTGCGATTGAAACTTCGTGGCCCAGCCCTAACCGGTTTGGCTCAGTGGATAGACCGTCGGCCTGCAGACTGAAGGGTCCCGGGTTTGATTTCGGTCAGGGGCATGTACCTGGGTTGCGGGCACATCCCCAGGAGTGGGTGTGCAGGAGGCAGCTGATCAATGTCTCTCTCTCATTGATGTTTCAAACTCTCTATTCCTCTCCCTTCCTCTCTATAAAAAAATCAATAAAATATATTAAAAAAAAAAGAAACTTCGTGACCCATGCTCAGAAGTCGGTATTTTGTGGAAGAGCCACACTCAAGGGGCCAAAGAGCCACATGTGGCTCGCGAGCCGCAGTTTGCCGACCACTGGTCTAGAAGGATGGGGGATGGGAGAGACGACACAGGGACCCTGTGTTCTAATACACACCTAATCGGCAGTTAGAAATGTACGGATGGGTTCACACAGCCTGTGGCCCTGAGGCTCCTGTGAGCACCACCCCCCGCCCCCGCCTTGCTCTGCCTGCACTTCTTCCTTCTCCCGGCCCAATCCCTGCCCTGCCCCAGTTTCTTTTTTCATCTCTCTTCCCTGTTGTGCTCGAAGGTACCTGTGAAATTCTAGCCTTAAAGATATTGCTGATCCTACAAGGGAGTGTTCTGAAAAGAGCATAATAAATAGCTTTGTAATGTTATAACAACAATATAAATAACGTTGCCAGTGTTGACATCTGAAACTCAATGAGAGCGTATTAACCCTCCCGCCTGTGGCATTGGCGATGGTTGAAGCTGGAACTAGGGAGCCCCTGTCCACTAAGATACTGGCACAGTGGTGTTTGAGAGTCCCCTTGGTGACTATACTTTAGGCGCTGCTGTGGCCAGAGTGGCATCCGGGTACGTGGGGGCTGGGAAGGGCAGGAGAAAGGCCACAGCCACTTGTCCGGCTCCTGTGACAAAAGCATTTTACATTTCAGTTTGAACAAAGTGTTCAGAGTGAAATAAAGCTGTCCGTGGCTCCCACATAGAACCCATCAGCCAAGTCTCCAAAGCCTCTTGGCACTCAAATACCACACGGCCTCTCGGTCTCCCAGGCCGAGCATTTCCGACAGGAAAGGAGAGTCCGTCTGAAGGGATTTATGGCGAAAGAGGAGAGTCTGACAGAGGACTTTGTCATTTATTCCCCGTCCTGAAACCCAGCATTGGCTGCGTCTGTCATACGACCAGAAAGGGACAGACTCCAGCGGAGGACTGAGGGACGCCACCCAGAGTGAGTGCCGCAGGGACGGCCTGCTGTCCGGTCTTCAGAAGGCCGGTGGCGCTAGGGTCCATCCCGCAGCCCCGAGAGCCAGCACAGCGTCTCGGTCCGAGGAAGCAGAGATCACCTGGGAGCGGAGGCCTCTGGGAGGCAGAGCTGGAGGAGGAGCCCACGGTGGCACCTTGTTTGCATTCTGTCACTGTCCCCTGACCCAGAGGACAGGGCGGGAGGTGCAGTGGAGGAGAGAAGGGAAGTGGCATTTTGCCTGTGGCTGCTGATGAGACGTAAATGACCTGAGCTTGCCCCTTCCTTCCTTCCTTCCTTCCTTCCTTCCTTCCTTCCTTCCTTCCTTTCTTCTTCCTTTCCTTTCCTT